ATGGCCATATTTCTAAAACTGTTACACAGACCTAATGCAGCCCTAATCAAAATTTCAAAAGCAGTCTTCACAGTACTGGAGAAAAGAATTCTAAAATTCATGTGGAACTAGAAGAGACCCAGAATAGTAAAAACAATCCTAAGATAACAAGAGCAAAGCAAGAGGAATCACAATCAGAGAGTTGAAATTATATTACAAAGCTACTATAATAAAAACATCATGATACAGGCACAAAAACAGACATGCGGATCAATGGAGCAGAACAGAGGATGCAGAAATAACACCAAGTACATTCGATTATATGACTTTTCACAAAGGGGCCATATACTACAGGAAGGAGCCTTTTTAATACATGGTGCTGGAAAATCAGTTATCCACACTCAAAAGATTGAACCTAGACCCATATCTTACACTACATACTAAATTAAAATACATATGGATCAAAAATATAAATATTAAAACAGAAGCATTTAACTTGTTGGAAAACAAAACAGATAAAACTCTTGAAGTCATGGGCATAGGTAAGGACTTTCTGAACAGAACTCCAGTTTCCCAGGAAATATCTCCAAGAATCAACAAATGAGATCATATCAAATCAAAAGGCTTCTACACAGCAAAAGAAACAACAGAGTGAAGAGACAACCTACAGAACGGGAAAAAAAAATGTCACTTGTATCCCAGACAAAGGATTTATATCTAGAATATATAAAGAACTCAAAAAACTTAGATTCCCAAAAAATGAATAAATGAAATAAACATACAGTGTATAGAAGAAGTACAAATGGCCATTACATACAGGAAGGAATGTCAATATCTCTGGCCATTAGAAAAATGTAAATTAAAACAACTGAGATTCCAATTTTACCTCAGAAAGAAGGGCTATCATCAAGAAATCAAATAACAACAAATGCTGCAGAGGCTGCAGGGACATTGCTGTTGGGGATGTAAACTAGTAAACCACAGTGGAAATCAGTACAGAAATTCTGCAAAAAACTGAAAGTAGGAATTCCTTTGATCCAGCTATTCCTCACCTAGGTATCTTCCCATGAGTTAAAGACATCTTATTATAGTGATACTGCATACCCATGTTTATAGCAAAAAAACTCTTAATAAGCTAAATCTTCGAAGCAGCTTATATGTTTATAAACAGATGAATGGATAAAGAAAATGTGATATTTACACACAATTTTGGAGTCTTATACTGTCTTTAAGAAAGATAAACTTTAGACATTTGTAGGAACATAGATGTATTTTGAGATCATAACATTAAATGAAACAAATCAAACACAAGTTTAAATATCACTTGATTTCTCTTATATGAGAAACCCACAATACTCAATAAAGAACAAAATAAAAAATAGATAATAGGAAGTAGAGAAACAGATCTTTCTCAAACGGCAAGGGGATGAAAACATGACAGAAGAGAGGGAAAGAGGATGAAAAAAGGAATTAAGATATGTTATATACATGTACCAACTCCACACAAGGAATGTGACCAGACATATACTACAAAAGTACCAACCAAAAAAAAAGAAAGATCGAGGATGAAGAAAAGGAATTAAGATGTGTTATATACATGTACCAGCTCCCCACAGTGAATACACTTATGCACTACACGTAGGTAGTAGTAAAACAATTAAAGTACTTTCAACTCTTGATAATTTTAAGATCCAAGAGCTATACAATAACAGTAATCCCTTAGAGCATTCAATAGAATGCTCCATTCAATAGAATGCTCCATTGAGCCGCATGTTTATTCAATAAATACAAATATCCTTTGACCAAGTTTGCTAGAATATGTTTTGAAAAAGATTCCAGGTAGACCACTGGTATTCAATTCTAAGACCTATATGTTGGTATAATTTTCTATAATTATCCCTTTCTTACCTGCCAATAACTTAGTAAGGTTTAAAATAATTAATCTGAACTGGGGGTACAGCTCACAAGTATAGTATATGCTTAGCATGTGCAGGGCCTTGGGTTTAATCTATAGCACCAAAACTTAATTAATTAATTAATTCAATTGTTTTCATATGCCATAATACCTACAACAGGATAATGCAAAACAGAAAACTGACTCCATTAAGTAAACATTGTTTCATACTAGTATTTTTTTAGTGAATGCTAAATAAAAAAGGACAAGAAATTTAGAAATTTTTATTATCATGAAAATAAACATTTGAGATTAAAAAAATTTCAGAGGGAAAAAAATCAGTGATTAGCAATAAAGTCAAATTTCCTCCAAGAAATTTTAGAAAGTTTTAAATTTTCCTTTTACAAAACAAAAAAAAACCTGAGAAAACAAGCCAAATGTGTATCTGAAAACTAGAAAACTTGCCTACACTTATGCAAGCAATTAAAATAAAATGACTAAAACCACAACATTAATCATGTTGCAAAATGTGCACATTCAATCCAGCCAAACTGGTTCTACCCACTCCCATTAGTAAAACTGAGTTGACACAGGAAACTAATGAGCTCAGCTGCAAGGGCTTGTTTGTTTTTTAATTTTACCCAGTTGCTCAAAACTAATTTGTATTTTACAGGAGTATCTTTTGTTGGATAAAAGGGGAATCAAATGTTCTTAAATAAGGATAAGCTCCGACAATGCCTAACAGCTTCATCTGTTCTAATGCACATCTGGGAAACTCTGTTTTTAACACTTTGACAGGTTCATCATTAGTCTTCAGGTTCAAAGATCTCAAATGTTTTTCTAGAGCTGTTAAACAGATTGCATTAGGGGAAAAGGAAATGTTAAAGGGAAAAATATGTTTTTTCCAGGTGCCTTTGTTTAAGCAAATGGAAAACACAAACTTCAGTCCCTAAAGCTGGTATGTGGAAGGTGTAGTTCATTATGAAACCAGAAATAAAGTCCAGTAATAAAAATAAACATTTTAACAGGAAATGTGTTGTAATAAACATTATTAGATAACCTTTTAGCCTGAAAATAGTCCCAAATTTTGTGATGACCGTAGTAGTAAAAACAAAAAACAAAACAAAACTAAAAAAAAAACAAAACAAAACACACACACACACACACACACACAAAAACCTTGAGGCTAAAGAAAATACAATCCAAAAAAGTGATACAGAGAATACATAAATAATAAAGATGATAAAATTAAGGTTTATGATAAGCCAGTTTACGCCAAGTGTGGTGAGGGGAGGCTGAAGCAGGGGGATTGTAAGTTTGAGGCCAGCCTGAGGCCAACGGATCTTCTGTTTGAGGTCATAGCAAGATCCTGTCTCAAAAAACCAAAAAACTAGTTCACTGTGCAAAGCAAAGTGCTAATTGAACACAGATAAATTCAGTATTTGTCTGCAGTTTTAACTGGCTATATTTACTACTGTTTATTTTTGCACTGATTAGAGCTTGAATTAATTAGAAACAAAAATTAAGGAGAAATATTTTCAACTGCAATTCTAGTTTAATTTCTAATGTTCAATTTCAGGTCTTACTTAGGAAAGAATATAAGTCTGATTCCATGACAACAAACACTACTGTGATACAAATCTCTAGTAAATGTGCCAAGCCTAAGTCCAGGATCTAGTAAGCACATGTGATTCAATGTAGGCTGTCAAGAATAAATGATGGTACAACCAAGGAATTAAAGAGTCACTTGAATTTAGTCAAGTTACAAATCCTGGCACAAAATTCAAACAAGTGTAGAGGCTAACATGAATGGAAAGTTTTAGGTCTTTTTAGCTCAACTAAAGTTAAAATCAGAAGACAACCCTACTAAAAAAATGTTAAAATGCTTGCTCTGTTTACACAAGGGAATTTTATTCAAAATAATCCTTATCTACACCATACATCCAGTACTACCTAAAACAAGTGAACTGCTCAGCAAGTGAACTTGTTTTCCTCCAAAATACATCACTCTTCCATTAACAATTTCACTTAATTGGCTATGTCCCTATGTCCCTAGGCTTAAAAATTTCAGCGTCTTTTGATTCTTCTTTTTCCTCAAAAACCTATTGATTTCTAACTACTTAGTCACAAAGTCCTAAAATATGTTTGACACCGCTCATCATAAAGACTTTAGTTTCAACATTATCATTAGTACTCACTTACAACTTAACCACTTTTTAGTCTCTAGTTAAAGTGCATCTTACAAACTCATGCCACACTAAAGCTCTAAAGAACAGATCATGTCACACCACATTTCAAAACATGGAAGGGATATCTGTTGAACACAGAATAAAGGTCTGTGCTTATTGGTTCAATTCGAACTCTGAGTATAACATCAATCTACTTTTCCAGCATCACTTTCTCGTTCTGTCTTCTACTTCATTGTAGAGGTACCATTCCCTATAACCAAAGACAACTAACTGGTATTTCTTAAACCTGGTCTGTAATTTCCAATTAACTTTAGAATCTACAATTAATACATTCCTTTACTTAAAATAATATTCTCCTTGATCAATTCATCCAGTTATTGAGGGTACAGTTTAAATGCTGTCTCCATGACACCTCTTCATTGTTCCCCAGCTGTGTGTAAATCCTCCTTCAGGAAACGCCTATAGCACCTTGAGAATCTATCAAGTAACATCTCATACTATCTAAAATGGCTCTGCGTGTAGCAACCTTATTTCTCTCACTAGATTTCTAAACAGGAAATTCCTTAAGGAAACTATCTGCTGAGCTTATGTAGTCATATATATGCTTTCATGAGCATACATATTATATGAATAAAGAGATACAAAAGTAAAATGGTATAATGGCAACATATCTAGTAGGAAATATGTTAATCCAGACCTGGACTATTATCTAAATTCAAAGAATCAACAGTAAAAAAGTAACAGAGTTCTCAAACTAGATTACTAAATATTAAGGTCAAAGAAAAAAATCTACATACTATTGTAACACAAAACTCAAATATCAAGACATACTGCTTGTTATATATATATGTATATATTAGCAACTTTGTTTTCTAAATAAATAAAGTTGAGAGAGTTGTTGACAACATATTGAAATAAAAAAAGGAACTTTCCCTTACTTCTACTGAGCTTTGGAAATCTTTTTTTCAGTTTCTTCTTTAATGGATTAAGGTCAGGCATTATTTCTGGAACAGCTAAATAAAAATCTGCATGAATTTCATCATCTAAAATCTGAAAATCAAGAAAAAAAAGATAATCTTAGATTTCATGTAAAGCTTTATCTTTCTGAAAATATGTAATTTCCATTATGATTCAGAAAAGAGATAGTAAGCATAATTTTCTTCAAACATAAGAATCATATGAATATATTTATCAATTATGAAAACCATCAGAAACAAAAGATTCTCTTTTATTTTCCTTTTAAAAATAGCCACAATCATTACCTAAAAAAAATTTAAATATTTGCAATCTTCCACAGGGCAGTATTAAAACAAAACTGTGTGATAAACTAGAATATAGCACCTATGTCTGCACAAGCGATGTAACCTCACAAAGCTGAATTCATCCATGTTAAAACTGAAGAAACAAACTGAAAGTTCTGCAATAAATCACACATATAAAAATAACAACCATTGGCTGCCGAACTATCAGCCACTAGCTCTGTATATTTATAATGAAAAAGAACTAATTCTATCATTATTTTCACAAAGAATTGATTTGCCACCTGTTTGCTATCAATAGCTACAGATTAGAAAGGTAGTCAAAGACAAATTTTCTTTTAGTTTACTATCCGTACTCTTCTTGTATTCACTGAACAAAGAGTTAACAATCAATTTCTAAAAGAATTCTTATGAATTCAGGCAAATGCCCAAATAATTACCATGCTACTCATTATTTTCCACCTAAAAGTTTAGTTGATTATAAAATAAAGCAATTGTTTAGAATGATACTGCCTGAGTAAGAAGTATTACATCAGTGATTTTTTTTTTTTCATGAAAAATCTTACCAAAATATGTCACCCAAAGTCTTGGTTTAGAGTTGCACAGTGAATCCTAAAAATTTGAACTCTAGTAAAATTAAGCAGTGATTCTCAATTTTATCTTCCTGTTACTGGTTTTATTTTGATTTGTTTTTGGTATAGCTGAAGATTGAAGCTAGAAACTTAACACTGAGCTACATCCATCCCCCTCCTTTTCTTTAAAATTCATCCATTCAGGGGCTGGGGATTTAGCTCAGCGGCATAAGCGCCTGCCTTGCAAGCAAGCAGTCGTAAGTTCAATCCTTGGTACTGATAAAAAGGAAAAAGGCAAAAAAAATTCACCCATTCATTCATTTATTTTATGACTTGGTCTTGCTCCTCAGTATTTTACATAGCTTAGTTCATACAGTCTTCACAACACCCCTACGAGACAGGTCCTAACACTCTGGACAAGGACCAAGGGCTGCCTATACACTCCTGTGAAGCAGAGCCAGAACTCAACGTGGTTCTAGAAATATGAAAGTAAAGACACTTTTTAAATGTCAAAGAACTATAATGAGATTTCTAATCAAAGACCTTCTAAAACCAATCTTACGATATGTCCCTGTAAATTAAATTTTAAATTATGTTTGAAAGTTATTCTATCATCTTAAGGTCACACCTTAGAATAAAACAAATCTTATGTATGGAAATCATAAGGTCAGAGACAAGTAAAAACATGAAATTACTTTTAAATCACTCAGACCAAGCATATTTGTGGTATTTCAAACTAAAATGAATAAATAAGGTCTTACCTAAGAAACAACTTTACTAACTGTATCTCCTACATTACATTTTAAAAGAGCTAAATAAAATAGAAGACCAATTTAGAAATAAAGCATGCCAGCGGGGTGCTGCTCAGTGGTATAGTGCTTGCCTAAGGTGTGCAAGGCCTCTGAGCCCCAGCACCAGCAACTGAAAGACAGACAGACAGACAGAGATGAAGAGGAAAAACAAGAAAGAGGAGCAAGGGGGAGGAAGGAGAGAAGGGGAGGAAGGAGAGAAAGGCAGGAAGAAAAGAAAGCAAGGAGGGAAGGAAGGTGGAAGGAAGGAAAACAGATGGAAAAATAGCATATTCCATCTATTTAATAGAAGAGTTCTCTGACACTACAGACCAAGCTATGCTCTCAAATTTCCAAGAGTTTGTGTCATATTTACTTTTAATAAAATAAAAAAATTTAAGTAACTGTTGAAAAATTAAGATATTAAAATTAATGCTACACTAGAAAAAAAATGGGTAGTATGCTCTGACTTGGTTTAGAGCCGGTATTAAAACATAATCTCTCTTTATTATCCACTAATTCTGCTTCCAAAACTCACTTTGGAGATTCTCCTTAAAAATTTACAAATTTAGAGTATTACTGGAGCCGGAAAAATCAATTACAAGCACCTGGGCAACGTGGTGCACACCTGTGGTTCCAGCTTTGGGAGGCTGAGGCAGGAGGACTACTGCAAGTTTGAGGCCAGGTTGGGTCACATAGTGAGTTCAAGACCAGTCTAGAATACATAGCAAAACACTGTCTGAAAACTAAACCAACCAAAAACCAAAACCACAAGCACTGCCATATATTACAAAGAACAAACTCAAGTTTAAGACTCCCCTGAAAGAAAATCTGGGAATGGCACAAAGGATTACATTTTCTTTTTCTTTTTTTTTTTAATTTTATTTTGAAAGTAGTAAAAATGCAACAGCACAAGACAGAACAAAGCAAATCAAGACAATGCAGTGAAACTGGTGCAGGATTTCACAGCAGGATACTGCGATAGTAGTAATAGGTACTATGGTATATCTCTTTAACTTCACAATAGTTGTCCAGTCAATTAGGCATAGCAAAATCAAACCAAAAATAGAACATTATAAAACCAATTGAGAATACCGAATAGAGCAAAAGAAACATAACAAAACAAAACAGTGAAAACAACCTTTGCCTTCAAACAGAAGACAGAAGGAAATCTCCCATATTTGCTATACTGTACATGGTCATCCTCCCAAGAGATGCTGAGACATCTATCCCCAGTAGCTATGAGAGGGGGCGGGGAAGCATGTTAGATTTTCAGCCTGCAGGGCAGTAGGCTCACAGGTAATGGTTCTCCTCCAGGCCCACGGCGCAGGCGCTTACCAAGAGGGTGGGTGCATAAGCTGCCTGAGTCCCAGGGCCGGATCTCAGAGTTCTGGATCTCCTCCTGGCCCAAGGGCGGGTCAGGATTACATTTTCAAGTAATTTTTTTCTACTCTTCCACCCCCTCAAAATGATTATATTTAAAAAAGGGGCTTTTGGAGAATGTAAAAAAAAGCCTTTATGTTTTCAAAATAACCGTGTGCTTCTTTCCACCCCTTAGAGGGGGAAAAAAAAAATACTGTTCTTTCAAAAGGGGCTCCACAGGCTTCCTGTGTTTTCCTAAAGGCAGGGTATATAATCATTTGTCAGCTACCATGCTGAGCCTGTGTCACCCTGAACTGACTAGGGAATAAAAGCTGAGATGAAACAAAAGCACTATATTGTAGAGGTCAGATATTATATTTTGTGAGTGATCTACCAAGTGAATCACACTTTTACTTCAAGGAAGCAAAACAAGTATTTGATCTTTTAAGACATGAATAGATATCTGGGTATGCTACCTTTGAGATTTTATTTTAAATCTCACATTCAAAACCTGAGTCATATTGTTCTTTTCAGTCAACCCACAAAACTCTCAAGACACATTACGAAAGCAAAATAAATGAAAATTTAAAAGTAACAATATAAATGAAATATAATCAAGAGTAGACTATTTGGTTTATGTGCTGTTGAAGCAAACACAATAACAGACTGTGTGGATGGCTTTTTCTTACCTTGATTTAAAAACAAAAATAGAAATTTTTCCTCATTCTATAAAAATCTATTAATAGGGGCTGGGGATTTAGCTCAGCGGCATAAGCACCTGCCTTGCAAGCAGGTAGTCGTGAGTTCGATCCCTGGTACCGATAAAAATGAAAAAGACAAAAAAAAAAATCTATTAATAATTTCTCAAAAGACAAGCGTCTACAGTGACTATTTCAACTTCTCAATGACCACAGAACAATCTCTAGAATTAATAAACACAAAAAAAATTACCATACCTTCTGAATCAGATCAGTTCCTCCTGCAAAAGCAGCTCCTTGTCCCTCTGCTATTTCAATCTCTGACGGATTCTATCGAAACAAGTTTGAATAGCAATCTTTAATTTTAAACAAACGCAGTACATTTTTAAGTATTTTGTCAGAGATAATATCATAACTCTCAATAAAACTTGTATTTTTAATTAAAAATGCATTAATTTTCAGCTGAGTATATATTAGATATACTACACAAAGAAGTTTAATTTGTAGGTAATTGAGGTGCTTTTTGACTGACCTGAGGAAATACACTAAAATGGCATTATTAGGAACTTACCTAACTACTACAAGTTTATAAATACAGTACCTTCCAAAAGTAAAAGATTCAAAACTATTTGGATTTTTTTAGTGTAAACCAATAAACCAATTTATAAAACCAATATGAAGAGAAAAAGGTTTAAGAACTCAATGAACCGGAATTTAGCCAGTATCTGAAAAATACCAAAATAAATAAACAGTATTAGCTATTTTCTTTCTGCATGTTCTATCCTCTTAGCTTTTTTTTTTTAACAGAACTGGGAATGCACCTGTCAGGCAGGCGTTGCACTGCTGAGCCATATCCCTGGCTCTCTTTATGTTCCACCCTTACCATTTGATCCACCCTTACTATTTGATTTTACCATAAAAATGTTTTCCTTAGTAAAGTTTTGTGGTATTCCAACAACTACATTTCCCAGGTTTCTGGGAAGAAAGCAGAGGTTCTTTCTTAACGATACAGCAGAGAAAATTAAAAATGCCTCCAACTTTGAGCTTCAAGTAAAGAATCAAAACACACACACAAAAAATCACAAATGCATTAATCAAAAAATTTGACTAAGAGCTAGATTGCAACATTAGCTGCATATTTGACTTCTCTATTTTTAAAAGTTGCTGGGCTTCCACAGAACTAGCTGGACCTACTCCTATAAAAAAAACCCTACTGTTCCATTAAGCTACATCATCAATGTGAAGGTCCTAGGTTAAACCCCAGTACTACATTATCATCATTATCATCATCTTCATCACTCTAACCCTATTTAATTCATTGATTCTAATCATCAACATGATCTCTAGAAAAATTAAATAATATAGGTAGTTGAGAAAAGTTACATACCCCTGTTAATACAGCAACTTTATTGACTTCTAAAGAAAATGGATATGGAAAACTAATAACGCTGGCAAACGGTTCCACTCTTTTCTAAACACAAGAAGGAAAAAGTATTTATAAAAAGTCCATCATTTCTATTATCTTCCACATTCTACATAAAACAACTGACAAGATTTTAGTTTTTTAATTCTACCATAATCCAGAACTATTCACTGACTACAATTTAAAACTCAATAGCTTATATTTTTTTTCAAGAAACTAATAAAAAACTAAATCTCTCTTCCCAGCTCCATATTCCATGGCACATGGCATCTATCTCTGTAGCATTCATGAATCTCTCAAATACTAACAGATATGTTTGCATTATCTGTATCTCACCAGCATCTAATACAATGTTTTCCATTTCAGTTTTGCCTATAGATGTTCACCAGCTTGAATTAGTTTTATTATAAAAGCATGAAATTTCCCGACATCAAGAAGGACATAGACACATACTGAACAGACAATCCAGTTGATCTGCTCAGTTGATCATTCCTAATTGCCAACATTGCTCTAAACAAGTTATGGCAAACCTTTTAGAAACAACTGCCCAAACTGCAACCCAAAACCCACTTATTTATGACAAAGTGCCAACACTGCAATTAAAACTGAATACTGAGTTTTTAATTTAGAAAAGGCAAGCCAAGTGTGATGATGCATGCCTGTAATCTCAGCACTTGGGAGGCTGAGACAGGAGGATTGCTGTAAGTCTGAGGTCATATGCAAGTGAGTTCACTCATTATATGGACTACATAGTGAGTTCAAGGCCAGTCTGAATTAGTTAGTGAGACCCTGTCTCAAAACAAAACAAAACAAATCATACATTAACATATTTTGCCTCAAAAGAAAAATAACACCTGTGCCATAGGTTTGCTACACTGTGCTAAATAACTAACCCCTGACAGAATACTGTCTTAATGAGTCTATTTTGAAGTCACTTTCAAATCTATTCTGGAAGTCAAATGGAAAGCCCAAAACAACAGCAGCATTGGAGGCAGGCAGAGGACACTCATGCAAAACTAATGGGTTCAGTCATTTTGGAAGAGGGACCTAGGTAGACAAGAGGCTCAGATCTCTTGGGGAGACTTCATATAGGAATAAGTTCTTGGTCCTCTGCAATGTTGGTATGGCCTGAAGAATTGAAAGAGGAAAAGGATTGTTCTTCTAATAAAATTGATTTTAAAATTATGCTTTTACAAATATTTTGAGTAAAGACATCCTCTTAAGGATACCATTTGAAAAAGAGGTATAAATTCTTAATTTACATCAGCCATACAATTTAGTTTTATTGACTGGAATTCTTCTGCCATTAACACATCACAACTGGTGTCAGTAAACTGCCGCATACTAAACAATCATGCTAATGGCATCTCCTATGGAATACTGACTTCTACAAACACTTTATGAAAACAAGAAAGAAAAAGGCTTTAGGATGATGATAATATTTTCTCACCGTCACCTGTTTACAAGTTGCTTCATATATGAAATGAAGCTTGAGGTCCTACAGGACACTACTGTGAATGGCATTCATGGCTCACTGATACCATCTCTGACACAACAAAATGTTTGAAATAAAAAAACTAACACTAACATTAAGGTGCAAAATAGAAACTGCATCATGGCTACTATAAATTGTTTCTAATGAATGAAAACTAACCAATGAATACGGTCTTTTTCTGGGTAGGCTCTTGTAGAGGCTGTCAAATTGTGTTTGAAAACTTTTTTTTTTCTCTGACATCCTCAGAGACATCCTAAAAGGACATCCTCAGAAAAGAAATTAAAATACCATTTCAGGGGGCTGGGGATTTAGCTCAGCGGCATAAATGCCTGCCTTGCAAGCAGACAGTCATGAGTTCGATCCCTGGTACCGGTAAAAACGAAAAAGACAAAAAAAAAAAAAAAAAAAAAAACCATTTCAAAAAAATTAGATTACTTAAGTGAAATGCTTATAAAATGTAGGGCTATAAAGAACTTCAATATTAATCCAGTGTTTTTCTTAACTTCAGGTTTTTTTTAATAATCAAAAGTCTTCTACAGAACTCCAGTATAAAAATAAAGTAAGCAGAAAGGCTCTGACTAAAGCAAGAGTGGGAAACTTGGAACCATAACCATGCAAACCATGCAAACTTAACCTTAACCCAGGGCTATAAGGAATGTATTTTAACTAATCCAACACTCTTAACTTCAAAAAAAATGACACCCAGACTACTTAAGTCACTTTCTGAAGTTACAGTGATAATTCACTGTATTTTAACATCATTTTTGTTGATGTTTATACATTAGGGAAATGGGAAATAGGAGATACAGATATAGACAGATATATAGATATACACAGAGCTATGCAGAGAGACATTTATCAAATTCCAGACTGTTTTCAACCTATTGTATATGTGGAAGATTAAAATTTTTTTTCATTATGATGTATACGACGAACGTAAGATTTTCTAAAAATTATTATGAGACAAAATTTTAAAGATTAAGAACATCAATCCATACAGTCATTGTTCACAAATAAACCTATTTTAATTGAGTTCACATACCTTTTTTCCCAGTGCCATATCCAGTGTCAAATCAACAAAAACTCCTTGTTTTGGATAAGTATAGTCTAAAACTTGAAACTTCTTAAGTAAGTGAACAGCTTTCTCTACCTCATAGATCCGCCTTGGGTATAAGCGCTTTAAATAGACATCATCCTCAGGTTCACCTTCCATGTATCGATAGGACTTTATTTTTTCTATCTCATTTTTCTTTTCTTCTGATGTTTTTTCTTTGGCACCTTTGTTGGCTTTCTTTGCAGGTCTTAAAAAATAAATTCAAGATCAATATATCAATATGTATTCTAAAGGACTTCCTTTAAAGGGCCAGTTTACAAGAGATTATTTTAATTCAAAAGCATAAATTGTTTCATAGTTTCTCTAATTCACCAAATATTAAGTAAACTTTTATAATTGCTCACAATCAGTATAAGTTGAATAAGGCATTGATGTTACTCTCTAAAACTTACAGAAGAGATAGAAATGCAAACAGATAATTTCAAGTACTATGAAAATGTAAACAAGTCTTACAAAACGACACTTAACCCAGCCTAGGAGGTTAGGGATGAGTTCTGGGAGAGATAACCCCGTCATTGTAGGATAAGGAAATTAATTTGACACCCAAAGAAAGACCATTTTCAAAAAGCATGCTCATACAAAAACTTTTGCACAAATGTTCCTAATAACATTATTCATAACAACTAAAAGGTAAAAGCGACCCAAATATCCATCAACTGATGAATACATAAAACATGGTATGTCTTAGGTCTCTGGGAAGCCAAGCCAGCACCTCCCCTCCCTGGTAGGCGGAGGCAGGGTGGCAGACTGCAGCCCTTCCAGGGGAAGAACCAGCAGTGTCTCCTGAGATCTACGCCATGTTGGAATTGAGGACGCTGTGAAAACAAATGACCATTCTGCCTCCCTGCTTAGCAATAGTGAACCTACTGCTACATGGCCTAGAGTCAAATATCCCACTTCCCCTATCTGCGCCCCCCCCCCCCGCCCATTAGCAAATGGGAACCAGAAATCTGAGCATTTCCTGGGAGGTTGACCACAGCAAATAAGGGGGACTTCCTTCTATCATTTCTTTGAAGGCAAATATTTTTATTACTGTTTTACTCTTTTCTGATTAATGGTACTGCTCTATTCAATATTCTGTTTTGATAAGTTCTATAGTGTTCTATATTTCATCTTATTTTGATATACGGGGTTGAAAGAACAACTATTATAAAGATAACAAAATATACTGTGATACCTATTACTGTTATCCTGGTAACCTGCTGTGAAGTTCAGTACCAATTTCACTGTACGATCTTAGTTGGCTTTATTCTGACTTGTTCTGTTGTATACTTTCAAAATAAGAATTAAAAAAAAAAAAAACAAAAAACATGGTACTATGTATGATGGAGGTCCTCAACAAGAAGTAAGACAGTACTGATATATGACATATGTAGTAACCTTAAAAATATGATAAGTGAAAGAAGCCAGTCACAAAAGACCATGTATTGTAACTTCAATTTATACAAAATACGAAGAATGGGCAAGCTGGATGTGGTGGCATATGCCTGTAATACCAGCACTGGGAAGGCTGAGGCAGGAGGAGAGCTACAATTTCAAGGCCAACCTGGGCTACACAGTGAATTCAGGGCAGCCTGAACCACATAGTGAGCCTCAGTCTCCAGAAAAAAAGGGGAGAAAAAAAAAAAAAGAATGGACAAATCTACAGGGATTAAAAGTGGGTTTGAGGCAGAGATTAGGGTAAAGTCGGCTTGCTGGAAAAGATGGCATGGCTTGTCAGACATGGATATCCAGGACACATGCAAAACACAGATTCCAAGTACTATGTGTTGTACTAATCAGCAAGAGCTATCTGTAGGTGTTCTGGGGCAAAATTTGTTAAAATGACCTAGACCTGACCCCAGAATGGAAGATACAAAAGATGGCAACAATGAATCCTGGCCCCGCAGTGCTCTCCCCTCTTCTATGTGTCTGCTCTGCACACTGCAGAGCATACTTCTTTTTCCTGCCTCCAATAAATGTAAAACTTCTCTACCTTTGGCATCTGCGTCCAGTTCTTTGTTCAGAGCCACAAATAACTGACCCTTGAAGGACCCCACAGCAACTCAGAACCCCAGGAACAGATTTAGTAGTCGTGTAGGGCTGAGAAGCTGGGAGAAGAGTGACACCTAATGGGAACAAGGTGTTTGGGGATGCTCATTAAAATGTTCTGAATAAAACTGGTTGTGGTAATGGTTGCACAACTCTATAAGTAAACTAAAAACCACAGAGTTGTACATTTTAAGTGGGCAAATTGCACGGCACATAAATTATATTTTAATAAAGCTGTTATTTAAAAACAGAGTTGGACAGGCAAAGAAAAACATAACAAAAAGTATTCAGTTGTGAAATAAAATGGTATACAAGGGGAGGCATTGCAAGTTCTATGTGACGTATAACAGTGGTTAGCAAACTTCTATGAAGAATCAGACAGTAAATGCATTAGCTCTATAAATTGTGTTCTCTGTCGCAGGAGCTCTGCTGTTTCAATGCAAAAGCAGCCACAGGGAATACATAGATGAATGAGCACAGCTATGCTTCAATAAAACATTATTTATAGAAACTGAATTTGAATTTTAAAGTTTTCATGACCACAAAATATTCTCTATTCTGATCATTACAAACTGTAAAAATCATTCTTAGCTCATAATTATACAAAAATAGGTGGTCGACCAAATCTTGTCCAGGGGCCATAATTTACTGACACCTGGACTAAAAAGGTAAAATTGAAGACAGGAAACAAATAGAAGATGAAACTGAAAAAGCAAGACCACAAAGGACAAAGGGAAGTGAGTGAAGGGAAGTGACATGTGACTTTCAAAGTATCCTGGCTGGACCTGTTAGCACATGCCTATAATCCCAGCACTTGAGAGGCTAAGGCAAGAGGACTGCCTCAAGTTTGAGGCCAGGCTGTTCTACACAGTCAGATGAAAGCCAGCCTGAACTACCTTGTTTTAAACAAAAACAACAACAAAAATCGAACAGTATTTTTGGTACAAGAAAAGAGATGGATAGCTCTAAATAAAGCAGGATCAGAAATTCTTGATACAAGAAAAGAGAAGACAAGACCCAGAACAAGAATAGTAACTGTAATAAAGAAAAAATGATAGAATAGAAAAATATTTACAAAGTAAATACTGCAGATAGGGAAAGAGGAAGAAAAGACAAATAATTTTTAGGTTCCTGGATTCAGGCAAAGAGTATACCAGAAAGAAGACAAAATAGGTTCCCTGTTGACAAAAGTAGTCACAGAAGTTAGCTTGGGATACACAGAGTTTAAATATAGATGTGTTATTTGCCCAATTATTTATTCTCTCTCCATTAAAGTCCCTTTTGTAAGTGATTTTATATTTCCTCCCACCAAAGGAGTGGAATATACAGAATCTACCAAAAAAAAAAAAAAAAAAAATCCAATCAGGAAAAGAAAAACATGCATAAATATTTTCTCTTTTTTTTTTTTAAGATTTTTTTGTATTTTAAAGAGAACAAAAGAAAACAGAATGAAACAAAGCAAATCAAAACAGGAAAATGCAAGCAACACAGCATTTCACAACAAAACAAATGGACATCAACAGTAGCTAACATGTGTCTTTGAAATAGTTGTGCATACCTTTACACACAATAATATCAAACATAACAATACAGTAAAAACAATTCAAAAGAATGAAGGCATTACAGGACTTCAAAACCAAATAACAGGAAATGAACAATGGCTGCTATAATATCTCACTTTTCTCAAAAAATTTGTCTATAACATCACACATAATAAAATAAAATAAAACACACCAATCAAAACAGAAGAACAAAAGCATGGTAGAACTTCAAAACAAGATGATAGTAAATCAGCAATAGCTACCAGAATGTCTTGTTTTCTTCAAAATAGCATTCACACCATCTCACATAATAAAATCAACAAAATAAAATCACCAATGAATGAAAGCATTATAAGACTTCAAAACAATATAATAGGAAACCATGATTGCCATATTTCCCATTATATTCAAAATAGCTGCTCTTTTCATCTGAAAGCATAGTCTAACAATAGACAGAACAAGCCAAACCTAATAAAATTATGTAAACAATGCAAGAGTTTAAGATAAGACAATAAGAAATTAACAGTACTTTCCACCTTTCCCTCCTTTTGCTTTTTTAAAAAATTTTATTTAAAGAAAGACTAAAGAAAACAGAAAATGGGTAGAAATAATACATACTTTCAAAGAAAGAATAAACAGTAATAAATCACTAGTTGATATTTACATATTGTCCTCTTACAAATAGTTACTCAAAGATACAAAAGTGGAGCATATAAAGTGGGATTTCAAACAGCGAGACTGCAATCAGTTCTGTTCAACAAAAAAAATCAGTCTGAGCAAAGAATAATAGTATTGCTGATTTTCACATTATGACACTCCTGGATCAGCACTGGGTATTGTAGTGTCTCTTTTTCTTCAAAGTATTTGTTCATTTCATCATGTGCCATAAGATCAGTTAAATTGTTTATTGGTTCTATGCATGCATGAGTCTTAACATGTATTTCTATCCTTTCTATATTAGAGGGAGGAACAAAACAAAGCAAGACAAAACAAATCATATTCCTATAAACACACAAAATGAAAAAGACATATAAGACCACTGTACAAGGATGAATTCCTAGAAAAATATGAAATGAAAAAAGACATATAAGACCACAATATTAGATGATCTACAGTAGTTACTATGCTTTCTCGTTATTTTCAATAGAATTGTCTACATCATCAGACATAATATAATTGAACAAAGCATTACATAGCTATTTTAATATAAACACAACTTTGGAGATATTGTAGGACTTCAAACACAGTTAATAATCAAACCAGGATGGGTATCTTTTACATCTTGTCATCTTCAGAGTAGTTGCTTCTACTCTTAGACTTGATACTATCAAGCATACCAAATTCAAATAAAAACAGTCAAGGCAAAATAGCAGTCTAACAAACCAGCTTCAAATAAGATCAGTCATAGTAAGACAATGTAAGTAATACAGGGTTTCAGTTTTAAGTTAATAGGAAATTAAGGATAGTAACCATGGTATAACCTGCTATTTTGGGGATAGCTGTCTCATACATAAATATTTTCATATTAAATTTAATGCAATATCATGAGAGTAGGGCAAGTTACTTTTGGCCTCTACCGTTATAACAGGTGCTCAAAGTGGTGGCCATTAGCTTC